TACATAAAAAGCAGGACAAATCCAACCCAGACAATTACCGCCCCATCAATTACCTTCAATCATCAGTAAGGTGATGGAGGATGTCATCAAAAGTGCGATCAAGCAGCACCTGCTCAGCAATAATCTATGACCAGTTTGGGATCCACAAGGGCCACTCAGCTCCTGACCTCATTACAACCTCGGTTCAAACATGGATGAAAGTCCTGAATTCCAGAGGTGAGTTGAGAGTGGCAACTCTTGACATCAAGGTTACGTTCAATTGTGTGTGGCATTAAGGACCTTTGCAAAACTGGAATCAATAGGAATTGGGGGAAAACTCTTCGCTGGTTGGAGTCAGACCTGACACATAGGAAGGTAATTGTTGGAGGTCAATCATCACAACTCCAGCACATTTCTGCAGGCATTCTTCAGAGTAGTTTCCTGGACCAACCATCTTCAGCTGCTTCATCAATGACCTTCCCTCCATCATAAGGTCAGAAGTGGCTGTGTTTGCCAATCGTTGCTCAATGTTCAGCACCATTCATGACTCCCCAGATACTGAAGCAGTCCAAGTCCAAATGCAACAAGATCTGGACAATATCCAGGCTTAGGCTGACAAGTGGCAAGTAACATCCATGCCACACAAATGCCAGGCTATGACCATCACGAATAAGAGATAATCTAACCACCGCCCCTTGATGTTCAATGGTGTTACCATCACTGAATTCTCCACTGTCAACATCCTGGGAGTTACCACTGATCAGAAACTCAACTAAATTCACCACATAAACACAATGGCTAGAAGAGCAAGTCAGAGCTTCTCACGGGCAACTAGGCATGGGCAATAAATGCTCAGAGATAGTAGGAACTGCTGATGCTGGAGTCTGAGATAACAAGGTGTAGAGCTGGATGAACACAGCAGGCCAAGCAGCATCAGAGGAGCAGGAAAGCTGATGTTTTGGGTCTAAATGCTGGCCAGCCACTAACATCCACATCCCACAATTGAATAAATAAAAAAAACCCAGGGATCTAGATACTTAGAGCACTAAAATATCGTAAAGGAAATAATCAAAACTTCCAATGAAATGGCCTTTACAACTACATGATAGACAAGCGTGTGGAGGTCGTGATTCAACTCCACAAAGCCCTGGTCAGATTATCCACAAAGAACTGGAACAAGTTAGACCATAAGATATAGGAGCAAAATTAGATGATTTAGCCCATCCAGCCTATTCTGCCATTTGATCATGGCTAATATGTTTCTCAACCCAATTCTCCTGCCTTCTCCTTGTAACCCTTGATGCATTCACTAATCAAGAACCTATTTATGTTTGTCTTAAAATGTCTTAGCTTCCACAACCCTCCGTGGCAATGAGTTCCAAAGAGTTACCATCCTCTGGCTGAAGAAATTCCTCCTCATTTCATTTCTAAAAGGTTGTCCCTTCACCCTGAGGCTGTTCTCAGAAAGGTTACATTGGCCTTGGAGGGCAGGTTTGTCCCTTTTAACCTGCACTCGAAAGGTTACATTGCACGGAGAGTTAATATGAGCATTCTATTTCCTGTTTTTTAGATGGATAAGGAATGATTTGATCAGATATTAAGGAGAGCGGATTGGTATTTTGGGAAAAATCTATTTCCATTGTGGGGGTGTGCGGACTAGGAGTGTACAGAAATTAGAGTCAGATCTTTCAGCAGTGTAACTAGAAAACACTTACATGCACAGCAGGTGGTTGAAGTTCAAAACTCTCTTCTGGATTAATGCTCATCTGATTGTTAATTTAGATCTGAAATTGGCAGACTTTTGTTAACTGAAGATATTGAAGGATGTGAGAAAATTATGAGTTTATATCAAATTGGGCATAGCTCAGCCATGACCTCATAGACTTTTCTCACTCAACCTGAATGTTAGTTGTGTTAGGGTGACTCAGAAACCATTTAAAATGCCAGGTGTGACTCCTTACGAGATTCTTGACCCCATTTCCGGGCTATCCAATTTTCAGGAGCTTATTTTAAGGGTATGGGCAGTTTCAAGCCACAAGCCCGTACTCAGCACCAGTAGACGTTGCTGGCTTCATTGCGAGGAAGTTATTCCTTATTGCTTTGTAAGTTTCATGGACACAAGCTTTTAAAAGTATTGTAGTCCACAGAAAATGAGAGGTGTCCCGAAAATAGTCCTGATGAGGGAATGTTTTGAAAACATCATCTTCATACCAAGCTATGAGCCCAGACAGACTCCACGTCAGATTTTACCCCTTCCCCATCTCCCATAGTTCCTTCTACCCCATATCAAAGTATGTTCCTCCTCCCACATCTCCATGGCCCTGTTGACATTCATGCCAACATATGGCGCTTCTAATGCCAAATGGTCTCTTAGCCAAGAATACTTAATAAGGCTTGGATGAGAATTCCAACAACCAAAACTGTCTCAAAACATCTGAACCACCTGCTTGACTGCCAGTTTTAGCTGTCTAATCACAGCTATCTATTTCATGATGTTTACTTAAACATGGTTGAGTGGTTTCAACTGTTTGCAGTTTCACCGACTGAAACTTTTAAGGATCTGGACTGTTATTGGGCCGTATTGAGTGATTTTTTTAGTGGAAACTTATAATTGAATTACATTTTATAAAGATTTTGTTTACACATCCCCCTCTCATTATATGGTTCAACACTTGCAATTTCATAAAGTTCCATTGTGAGTTGCAGTGGTATAGTGTGACAACTGAGTCAATTATGAATTCTTAGCTGAGTTTCAAAAGGTCCTGAACTACCCAGCTCAGCAAGGGTTTGTACGAATACGTTTGACAGTTTTAATGTGTAATTAAAGGATTAGCCACCATCTTTGATGTGGTTACTAAAGTCCATGTCTGCTTTTTTCTTTAGATTAACCATGCGTGGATTCAATTCTTAAGGAATGGGGAAGTCTTTTGTATGGTAGATTGTTCGAACTTTTTATTTTGATGTTCGTTTCAAAGATGAGGTGAGATCTGCCCATATGGAGAATATATCAACGCGGCATGTGGGAATGAAGTGGACATGGAGATAGATGGATGAATGAGCAGGTGAGTGTTTGAGGGCTTAAAGTTCATCATTAATACTGGGCCAATGTCCTAGTAAATGGAGCTGGAGATTCTGGAGATTTTACAGCACTGAGAACGGGAAGTATGTTATTCTAAAGTATCCAACTTTATATATTTTTTTGTTTTTGTGCATGTTAAGACATTATTTGATTTTCTTCTTTCTCATTTGATACTGTAACTCTCGGAGCCAATAGCCCTCTGGCATACTCCCAATACATTGCCAAGTTTTCTCATATCCCCAGATTCCCTCCATACCCTCTTGTGTCTTCCATGCCACCTCCTCATAATTTCCTTTCCCCCTCACATCATACCACAACAGACATGTGAGGAAAGTTATAGGCCATAGTATAAAAGTGATAGCAGCTACATGGATACAAAATTGGTTGAATGTTAGGAAACAAAGAGTAATAGTTGATAAGTATTTTACGAACATGAAGAGGGCTTGTAGTGGAGGTCCAAAAGGGGCAGTATTGAGATATTTGGTTTTCCTGATATATATTAATGATCTGGATCTTTGTGTGCAGGGACAATTTCAAAGTTTGCTG